TAAGCTTGTATTTTGCCTAAACTTGATCAGTTAAACCCAATAATTTTGATAGGATGAAAAGAAACCTGTCAGTAATCCTTTACTTAAATCCACAGTGCTCATACACTTAATAGAATTTCTTTAATGAGGTTAATGCAGTGTTATTAAGGGAATTGGGATTTGAATTCCAGTCCTTCCATATTTTTTTTATGAAAGTAAACTTTCTTTTAATAATAGTAGCTTCCTACATGAGAATTTAAGGATAGTCTTTTGCCAACTGAAATGCTCTCAGGTATAATTAACATGAATACATAGAAACATACGTATACAATATATTGTATATGTATATACATATACAATATATTGTATATAATGTATATACAACTGTTAGTAGATGTAGGTCACTCCAAAAGTAATGCATCCTATTTAGTTCCATGGAAACTACAATAGATACAAAGAGCACAATAACACTATTGGATTGAGCAAATTCTCTGCTACAAGAAAAAAAAAAAAAAAAAGTTTTTCAACATAGTCATCACCACTTGCTACACATTTTTGCCAGCAATGATCAAGAGCCTGTATGCCACACTTGTAAAAATCTGCACCACCTGTTGCTGTTGCTGCTACTGAAACACATCACACGCTCTCCACTGTGCTCACACCATTTGGTCTCTGTAAATGTTCAGCAAGCATCAATGAATGTCAATGGATGCCATTTTCTTTCCACATGGAGGAATCCACATGCACCCCTTTGCTACATACGCACTTCCCTGCTAGACAACATTTTATCAGACTGCCTCTTTTGCCACATGTCACACAGCAATGGAATACTGGAGAGAAGGTTCAACCTCTACTGCCATACCATCTGCCTCAGACATCAGGGGCCAGTATCACAAAACAGGAAGCATTACTTTCAAAGCATCCCTCTTACTTCTATATGTATGTAAACAGAAGCACTATGTAGTATAAAAGTTAAATAACAATGTAGACAGCATCACTTTAATGACAATATTCAAACTGCTTTCACCAAGAATATTTACCTTCTCATCACTGTATAGAGATGAAAATCCTCCGTTACAGAACTTCCAATCTTATATAATCAGATTATCAAATAACATGTATTTTGCTCAATTAAATGATTAACAAAGGAAAAAGCTTATTTGTTGGTCAGAACAGAGGTATATTTTGCAATGTGGAAACTCAAGTTTTGATAAACAATAGCTGTAAATGTTTAAATAGAAGATACGCACTCTTCTCAAAGATGTGTCCCTTTTCACTGTACAAACTCTTTCACCTTAAAACATTAGACACAAAATACTACATCTGATCTTTTTTCAAAAGCAGTCATCAAGTAAAAGACCAAATGTAGTGACCTGCAATGCTTTTTATTCAGCCTCAATTTATTTTATACTTCAGCAAAACTTTTGACACTTCCCTATTGTTTTGCAATGCCATTGCATTTTCCATGTACTTCTCTCTATGTAACTGCATTATAACTTTCTTCCCAGTACTTTTTTTTCCTCAGCATTTTTCAAGTGCTTACAATACTTCTCAGGTTGGTGTCATCCAGATTTAATAATCACACACTTGCTACATGCTTTCTTTTGACAGTGAAATATTAATAACATTCACCTATTATAGTTTTTCAAACAGTCTTCTATCCACCTACAACAATTTCTTCTGCTGAAGTCAAAATATATGACATCTCCTGCCTGTCCTTTACCCACAAGGCCTATTATTCTATGAGAGATGAAAATTAAATTGGTTTGACACATTTTGTTCTTGGCAAATGTATGTTTACCATCCCTCATCTTCTTTTTATTTCTGTGTGCTTACAGGTAATATTCACAACTTCTTTCAGTTCTTTTCCAGGAACTGAAAAGTACGTAATAAATCTCAGTGAGTTGTCTAAGACAGGTGCAGAATGGAAATATCAGGTATTAATTTAACAGCATTTTTAAATGCTCAGATTCAATTTGCATGCAACCTAAAATACCAAGGCTTCCTAATCCCATGAAACATTTTTTTCTTTAAAATACAATAGTGACATTAAAAGAGAAAATTACTTTATTTAAATATTTCTTTATTTAAGCATAATAAAAGTATAGCTCAATCATCTCCTTATTCTGAGACAAGTTTCAGCATGCGGCAGTCAATTTTTAGTTGATTTTACTGAGTCCTAAACTGTTATAGATTTTACAGATTGATTTTATTGAGTTCTAAATTATTATGACTCCAGTCATAAGAGTCCAGTCAAAAGAAATCTTGAAAGTATTAGTGGGAAAGATATGCCAGATTCTATACATATTTTCTGTTCAGTTTCTGTTCAGTGGCAGGCCAAAGAGTTGTTATCACTGTGGTTTTGAACAGAGGCATAATTAGCAGAACAGTAGCTCAAGTGATAACATTTTCCATGTAATCCCTTATCTTTCACGACAGAAAACACTCGCATTGCCATATTTACATGATCTACAAAAGAGCTGTATTGAAAAGATGCTGGCAGGATTGTGTTGATACAAAATACAGAGATGCCAAGTCACTTCTTCCCTAGTATTAAAAAAAAAAAAAAGTAAACAAACACATACACAAAAAAAGCCCAGTTTCATTAGATACTAGGTTAAATATTAACTAGGAATGCCACACAAGAAGCCAAACAGTGCTTACAGTGAGACTGCAAACAGAAACACCTGAGCTGTGTTTTCATGTATACAAAGATTTAACTTATTTTCAGTTGACCATTACTTATGTATTGCATTTATATGTAATATGTATAAGTCATAGAGTTTACTAAAGACTTAGAACCACAAATAAAAAGATAGGTGACAGCCTTCAATGCAAATTTAGAGAAAAAAAGATTATATTATCTAGTAGTTGTATCACTGTTCATAACTAAACCGTGTTTTTCTGAGTTGTAAGGAGATGTATTCATTTTCAGAGCACCAGGATTTGCTGCTGTGATGGGTATAGTAACACCTGGTTGACAGAAATTATTAATTATTATCATTAACGATCAATTACTACATAATTACATGATATAGTAATAACTATTATAATCATATAAAATAATTATTATATTATTAAAAACAAATAGTTATTATATTTACTTGGGTAATCAGCCCAACTTGCATTCTACAAACCTACAACTAGTGAAGAAGAATGTCTCCAAATTCCTGCCACCCTCTCAAGTGATGGCATGTAAGTCAGGGTTCAGGGCCTCCTCCACTTGCAATCTAAGTTTCACTTCTGCAAGGAGGACTCATACCTACAAGCCATGTCCAACAGTTACAGTACACAGTGCCATACAGGTCAACTCATATGACAAGGAAAGAAAGATGGGTGTTGCAGACCTTTCCTTGCGTAGAAGAAATTCCAATCCCTGTCACAGATCTCAGGGGGGCACGAATTCATCCCACCTAACTCAAGGCATTTTCCTAAACTTGGAGAAAATTGATCATGTATCTCTATATTCTAGTGAGAAAGAGGTACAACCCATGAGTAATTTCACTGTAAATATATTCAAGGAAGAACTATCTTACCTCCTTATTGAGCTAAAATACTCAACTTCTCTTAACATTTTAATTGTTTTAAAATGTAATAAGAGTCCACCAGGCTACAGAAGAATCTGGCAGAAGGAGCATTTGAACCCCTGCCACGTGCAGACATGAAGGTATTTGCTGACAGTGAGCGACTTTACACTCAAGGCACTCAGAGGGAAAGCAGACAAACTCGATTATGTCTTCTTCCACCATATGAAAAGAACAAAAAAATCCCAGGAGAAGAACTGCAAAGTCAGCTCTAAGACCCTGAACATTTAACTACGGGACAGTGTGTGCAGGTGACAGTTGCACCACTGAACCATTTTGTATTTGTGACTGAGGTGCACATAGAAGAACAAAATCACAGAATCACTCAGGTTGAAAAAGACACTTAAGATCACCAGGTCCAACCATGACTAACCATACTAATACTAATACTACTCTAACAAACCTCCACTAAATCATGTTCCTGAGCACCACATCCAAATAGCTTTTTTAAACACATCCAAGGATGGTGACTCAATCATCTCCCTGGGGAGCCTATTCCAGTGCTTAACAACCCTTTCTGTAAAGAACTGTTTGCTGATATCCAACCTAAACTTATTTTGGTGCAACTTGAGGCCATTTCCCCTCATCCTGTCACCAGAGAAGAAACCAACCTCACTCTCGCTGCAATCACCTTTCATATACTGAAAGAGAGCAATAAAGTCTCCCCTCAGCTTCCTTTTCCCCAGACAAAACAGCCCCAGTTTCTCTAGCCTCTCCTCATAGGGCACATTCTCCAAGTCCTTCACAAGCCTTACTGCCCTTCTTTGGACCTGCTCCAGCACCTCAATGCCCCTTCTGTATTGAGGTGCCCAAAATTAAACACAGTACTTGAGGCAAGGCCTCACCAATGCTGAGTACAGGGGCAGGATTACTTCCCTAGTCCTGCTCACCACACCATTCCTGACACAAGCCAGGATGCCACTGGCCTTCTTGGCCACCTGGGCACACTGCTGGCTCATATTCAGCTGACCCTGCATCAGTACACCAAGGCCCCTTTCTATCAGGCAGCTTTCCAGCCACTCCTCCCCGAGCCTGTAGGGTTGCCTGGAGTTGTTGTGACCAAAATGCAGGACCTGACACTTGGCCCTATTGAAACTCACATAGTTAACCTTAGCCCATCAATCCAGTCCATCCAGGTCCCTCTGTAGTGCCCTTCTCTCCTCAGGCAGATCAACACTCCCTCCCAACTTGGTGTCGTCTACAAACTTACTGAGGGTGCACTCAATACCCTCATCAAGATAATTAATACAGATGTTGTATGGGAACTGCTGAGTCACAGCCTGAACCTCTGATTGATCACCTGGGGTGAGCAATGAGTCAGTTACGGGAGCACAGGTGAAGGCAATTCACCTGCACTGCTGGAAGGTGTGGAGCCTGGCTCCACCTCTCATAGACCCATTTAAGAGCTGACTACCAGTGGGGAAGGATCTCTTCTGGAGATCCACTCTGCTGGAGTTTCATGAGCAAGCCCAGGATACAGGTAAGCTTTCTATCTATTCTCTTTTTGTTACTGTAATCTGCTTTGCCAAACTCTCTTGTTTCTTTCATAGTTATAACATCTTAACATTCATTGATTATACAGATGTTAATTAGAAGTGGCCCCAGTACTGAGCCCTGGGGGACACTGCTCATGACCATCAGCCAACTGTATTTAACTCCACTGACCACAGCTCTTCAGGCCCGGTAATCCAGCCAGTGTTTCACCCAGAGGAGCATTACACCCATCCAAATCATGGTCAGCCAGCTTCAAAACAGAGCAGTTACATTGCATTACATGCTTTTTCAGAAGACAACGAAAAAAGTCTCACATTGTACTGCAGTCCAAACATTTCATTTCTGGAATATCATTTGCCCAAAGGAAAAATAACAAATCCATTAAATAAAAGTACTCTATTCACGCCTGCAAATGTTTAATGCATATTTTTTCTGGGAATTGTTACACTAAGTGCCACAGACCATCCACATCTGTTTCCAGCTGTGGTCTAATGCTTTAGAGGAATGCATTAAACTTCATGCACCTGGAGATTAGCAGATTTCTCTTGCTCCAGTTTATCAGCTTACAAACCCAAATCTTGACAATTTACGTCATTTGTACTTTAACACAAGTACATAACAATTTCACATTCACTAAACTATATTCACTTCTGCATTAGGAGTAATTAAAGTTATTTTCAGGTTACTAGTTATGAATGATCTTCCAGAGATGTGGGGAGAGCCAAAGGGATCTCATAAAAATGAGTCTGCTATTGCTGCTAACACGGAAAGTTCCCTCCAAGACAAACACCTATTTAATAGGTTCTCTCTCATTTCTGAGATTAGAGAGCACTAAAATAACATTAATAAAATTGGAAAGATCCACAAAATTAAAAATTAAAATAAAACCACCACCACCACCAAAAAATAACTCTACTTGTACCGATGCATTCACAATTGCACACTTGCTTTATCTCCAGACTTAAAGGAAATTTGGTGAAATTTTGCCTAATGGAAACTGATTGCAAAACTCTTATTAAAAGAAAAGTGTTGGAGAGGGAGGTTAAAAAGAAGAACAAAAGAAGCTGTATTTCTCTGAATCAAGTGCCTGCTACTGGAATGTTATGGTGGAATGAAGTTACGTAGAAATAAACCGGGATGTGTTAAATGCAGTGCTCAGAAAACACGAAAGAAACTGGAATGTTAATGAACCAAAGAGCAAAGCTAGAATGCAGAATTAATTTGTAGTCAAGTGAAGCTTGAAATTTGCTATTGGATTCTGCTGCCTGTTGACTGTGGTTTGTGTAAAGTTCTGAGGCTTGCATTCATTCTTTTCCTCCCTCACTCTGCTGGGATTTGGCACCAATGAATCAGAAAACACAAGTGTATGAGCCATACAAGTGACCAAGGAGCAGGAAACTAAAATTGTTCTTTCTTGGCCAACTGAAGTTGATTATACTCTCATTCTTTTCATAATAAATAAACAGAAAGAAGAACCTGAAAGCACTTTAAGACACTGAAATTGAAGTAAAAAAGCAGCAGCTCCACTTGGTACCAGCCACATCAATACACTTGTATTTGTCTGCAATTCCTCACATAATTATTTCTTACATATTTTTTCCACTATAGCATAGATAACAACAGCAATACTAGACATACCAGTGAATGTTATGCTTCTGTACACAGTTTACATACCCAAGTATGCCACATAACTGTTTCATTTCTGTAGTGGCACTACTGGACTACTTTCTCGCACTAATGTATTCATCCTTCAATGTTGGTAATGCTATTAACAGCACAAAATTCTCCATTTCACCACTGACTTCATTCACAAATTCTCACTTCACACATGTAAGATACTAGCTATTCTGGTTTCAAAAATTACCATATAGCACAGGGGCTTTGAGACCTTGAAAACATCAGTATTTTTACCCCACTACCTCCTTGTTCTGCAGCTAGACAGATACAGAACTCCTCTAGCACCTGAATACACAGGAATCTCTCTTCAACGTGATCAATCATGTGGGTGAGAAGGAACCACCATGCATCACTAAATCCAACCCCTCAATAAAGTAGGTTCCCTACACCAGGTTGCTACCTTGAAGCCTCACAACAGCACATGTTCTGAAAGTTACTCTCCACTGTCCACAGTGGGTTGCATGGCACATCTCTGCATCTTGCTCACAAGAATACCAGATGATACGTAAAACAAATGCTATTTTGTCTGGCCTTCAACTGACCAGTGCTTTTCATGCAGCCTTAAAACCACTGCCAGATTCTGATGAATACATAGATCCGTTTGCTTTATGTTCTGACAATGAGCTCTCCAAGATGAAAGAGGCTTCATCTTGTGTCTTACCCATTGCTGGATATGCTGTAATGTCCTTGTGTAATCAAAGTGACTGACATTCCATTGACTGCCTTACTTAGCTTTTCTTCGCTTTTCCATCACAGTTTCCAATTATTACAATTCATGGTGGACACAGTGTCTGCTGTCAAAGGTGGTTCACATTTAAATTAATGGGATCCCCCCCCCCCAAAAAAGGCATTTTTTTCAATGAATTGTTCACAATTAATGGTACTTGATAATACGACCCATTCTCCCCCTTCAGTCACACTGATAGGGGAAGACAAGATGGCAAATCAACTAACACAACAACAACAATAAAAAAAAAAAAAAAAAGAATCAACCTCAATATGGAGAATTGAGCTAGTATTCAGATTCATGTAAATAATGTGGTAAAAACCCTTCAATAGATTACTCAGGACTAAACATTCTCTTGATATCAGTAATATAAAGCACTAGCACCAGAGAGCCATATAGCAATTACTAGGTGAAGAGAAGTGAAGAACAGGAGCACAGTAATTTAAAACAATTTGTTGTAATGAGTTCATCCATGTTTTCATACACTTTTCCAAGAATACTAAAAAATGTTGGCAACAAGTTTTTCAGCTAAATGTTTTAAGTAATGCATATTCCTTTTGGAACAGAAATGATGGGAAGTTAAGTCCTGTGTTGGGCCTCCTTTACCTGTAAATTTTTACTGAATTTCTACGTTTGCAAACAATAAATAATAAAACTGAGCATTTTTACAGCTGTTTCATCGATAAACCTTGAAGTACTCTTTAGTACAGTCATCCAACTACAGCCAATAATTTTGTCCTGTTGACTGGTGTGGAATGCTAAACACAAGTGTAGTCTATTAAAAAGAAAATCAGAAGAAAGATCATCTCATGATTAGTGTTTGCGACTGAGAGTAAGAATTCCCTCAGCTTTACTTCCAGCTCTGCCACTGACTCACAGAGTGATCCTGGGCAAGTCACTAAGGCCAAAAGAAAAGAGAACAGAGTTGAATTCCTACATTTGATTTAGCCATTCAATAAGAAGTTTGACTTTCGTAACTGCCAAATGTCTAGAAATTCTTCGTGTGGAAATACTTTGCTGTAATCTCTTGTTCCAGTAGTTGACCTATCTGTAATTTAATCTTCATGAGAAATTGAACTGGTTTAACTTAAATCAATTTTAAATTGATCTCATTAATCTCAACTGTATTCATGCTTGAACCAAATAAACTCTCTTAAACAATAGTTAGGTTTATTTGATAAAACACATTCTACATAAAAACAACAAAAACTTAGCAATTCAACAATTTCTGGACTTGGAGATGGCACTGTTTTACCCTGATTGAGACCCAGCCTTTCCACTTGTATGACTTATGCATTACATTTTGTGGACACTGTGTACAGGCACTGCTGGGTTAAACCACAACTTTCCTACCATATTATTCAGTCTACTTCAATATATTACACTGTCAAACTGTTAGGGCAGATATATTTTTCCTGGCCTTTGCAAATTTAGTCTTGCCCTGCTGACGCTTATCCAAACAACTTTCTTATCCTCCTCTGCTTCCCTCCTCTGATTCCATTTTTTCCTATACTTACAAGCACAACATTCTTGGCTTCATTTTCAAGGATTTTAAACTGCCTTTAACTCAACTTTGACCATTCAATGACTGCTGAGATTTCTGCACTTAATTCCAACTAGCTTATCTGCTGTTGTGTCCGTCCG